TATTTTGAATGTCAAAATGTATCTTTGTTAGTATTTATTTTCTTATCTTATAGATACTTTAAAAGGTAATAAGGTCTTATTGGCAAAAGATAGTCTAAATAATTGCTAACTCTATTTTATAACTTTAATCCTTCAATGCTCGAACTTTTTTTATAAAAGATATAGTTTGCCTGTAAGTTGTTTACAATATTTTTTAGTAAATAGATCGTGTCACGCTGTCATCTCTGTCCGAGTTGCCCTTTCCCAAAGTCCAAGTTGCGTCCGAGTTCGCAGGACAGCCGAGCAAGACAACTTTTTGGGAGGGGTCAACAATAAAACCAGCACAGGGCACACACAAAAAAAAAGGGGGTAGCCAGGGGCGGCGGGGTGGACACTGCAAAAGGGGTGCCTCGGATCGCGGTATTTTCGAGGGTCTGAAAGAAGTCGGCGGCCCATTTGAATGTTTTATAGCAATTTCTGTTGTCGGCTGCGGTTGATGTTGCTATTGTTGCTGTTGCTGTTGCTGTTGTTGTTGTTGTTGTTGTTGTTGTTGTTGTTGTTGCCAGTTGGCAGTTGCTGGTTAGTCGGCAACTTGACACACCTCAATGCACGTTGCACTCAACACTTGGCGTATAATTATTTATTACATTTAAATTATTGTTGCCATTGTTGTGAGGTGAGTTGTTGGTAGTGGCAAACAAAACTTTCAGGGGGTGGGGGCGAAGGGGAAACCGAGGGGGGTTGGGAGTAGGAAAGCGAGCTTCATGCACTCGCACTTGGCTTTATGATTGCTACAATTATTGCTGCTGTTGCTGTGGCCCCTGCAATTCCTTGGACAGCATTTCCACCAGTGCAATTGTTTATTGTTGTTTAGCTCTCTTGCATTTCATTATATTCCGATACGACCGTAAATATATATATGTAAATATATACATATGTACAGGGAGAAAGAAACCAGATATCGTACGAGCTACCCAAGAAGTGTCTACTATATATACTCGCACATACAACAGTAGCTTTCCCTGCTGCCTCGCGAAATGTGTTTTTCACATTATTCCCATGAATAATGCATTGGGCCAATATGCATATTTTATGTGAAATTCGTGCAATAAAATACTATTAAATATTTAGTTGCCGCCGACGTCGACGTTTTTGTCTTGCGGCAAAGAAAAAAAGGGACAAGGAGCTAGATCCACTGGGTGTCCTGCCCGCGCGGTCATTAGAAATTCGGGGGCCTGGGAATGGGATTTATAAAAATGCAAATCGATTCGCGGGATCCCCAATGAGAAGTGTCAGTCCAGAGGACTCGATAATTGTAGTCGCCGGGGTATTCATTCTTAAATTAAATATTTCTGGCGTCTTCGAAAATTAATGAATAGCAGGGCACAACTGTAAAGCCAGAAGGTGCGGTCACACAGAGAAAAATCAAATATAAGTTTAATCAAATTAAAATTTTATTTATATTTTATTTAATTTGTTTTGATTATTCTCATAAATTTACTTTATAGAAGCTTTAATCCCTAAAATCATTAGTAAATCATTTTAGTAAAATAAGAACTGATGATCTAAATACCAAAAATCATATTTACCTTTATTATTATTGTGGCTAATAATAATAGATAAATATTTTCCCAATTAACTCCCAATTGTATTGGTAATTTTTTGCAATATAGTTATACAAGTAGCTATTCCTGAAGAAGACAACGTGGCCAAGGTTGCCGGAAATTGGGGGGCAAAGTGGGTGGAAAAGTGGGTGGTAAGGTGGGTGGCATGCGTGCGACTGGCTGAGTAATACAAATAAATGAATGAACAGAGAGCTACCAGCTGCCAAAAAGAGAGTGGAAATGCGGAAGTGCGGAAAAGCGAGAGCTAGAGAGAGAAAACTAGTTGGCAGTAGTAATAGTGAAGGCTAAAAGCGAACAGGCGCCCAGGAAAAGTAAAAGCTGCCCCACAAAACGCCAAGGAAATCGCAAAGTTCCTGCTAGTTGTGACGCACAAGGGCGGTGGGGGGTTAAGCGTGGGGGGGGAAATCGGGGTGAAAGGGGGATTTGTGGTGAGCAAGTTGCAGACAAGAGAAATAACAAACTTGAGACGCCACCACGGTGGAACACGAATCGAAAATGAATAATAAATAAAGTGTTATATAATATGAGAAATATACACAGCAAAAACGGCAGGAGGAAAACTACAGCAAAAGTTCTAAGGAAAGCAGCGGGTTTGGGGCATTGGGGGGTTAAGGATAAAGGACATGCCAGGAGGTGGGGGGAAAACTGGTGTAGTTTTAGTGCTTTTCCAGCGGGGGAAAGGGGCGATGGGTAGTGCTGAGTTTATGTGCGCGCTTGAAAAATAAAATTAAAATTGCATTAGAATCCAAGGGGTATTACAGGCGGGAGGGGGGGTGGTGGAGGGCTTAAAGGGGTGGGGCGGGGAGCCTAACCCGCGATGTAGTGAAAACTTGAAGGCTGTTGAAAGGCAGGGGCGTGGAAGGGGTAGTCTATGCATTTGGATTGATGGCAAATGCGAGTGTGAGGGCGTGTTATAAATTTATATTTTATTGCCAACAGACACACACAAAGTTATAGAAATCCATATACGTATATATCTCTCTCTTCCTATATATATATATATATACATATATAGAGATCTCCGAGTGTGGGTGCAAATAAAAAAGTATTGAAAAAGTCCAGGCCCTGGCTACGAAAAATATTTTCTTTGGGTGGAAAACAAAAATCAATAAATTTTTATAGAAATTTGTAGCAGCGGAAAGTTAATTAAATAAATTATTATGTGAATGGGGCGTGCACACGATGAGTAATTGGCAAGAAGAAGAAGCAGAAGAAGAAGAAGAGGCGGCGGTAGAAGAAGAAGCAGTCGAAGCAGCGACGTCAGCAGCGAAGCGCCGCAAATTAAATTAAATGAGTTGAAAGAAAGTTGAATGCGCGCACACTTCAAATTTGTTTTTGTTGAGCAAGATGGGGCAGGGGCAAGGGGACAGAGGGGCGAGGGGGTTCACTGGGAGGAAATGCCATTTGTTGTTGCCAGCTAAGGGGAATTGAAAATTTAATTAATTAAACATTTTCGAGCAGAGCTCGTAATATTTTATTATATGAATTGTACTATGCGAGAGTTTTATAATCGCTATTCGTCTGAATGGATGAATGGCTGACAGGGGTTGATTAATCTCCGACAAATGCTAGAGAAGAGAAATTTTAACGATCTCTACATCGAGAAAAATGATTAGATTATTGCTCAACTATATAATTAATTTTTTTCTGTCTAAAGGGATTTTTCTAACACACATATAAGGGGGTTTTCATTTTGAGTTTGTAAAAATTGGCATTAAATGTATAGATACATAATTTATTTGTGGTTTTATACATCTTTTTTAAAGTAAGAAAAAATTACTTTGATAAATTGGTTGATTTTAATACTCTATTAATAATAAACTAATTTCAGAAAGTATTATTTTATAACATAAAACCAACTTTACTTATTTAGAAAACCTGACCAATCTGTGGTAATTATATACAAAATTCCTCCAGATACATAACTTTAGCCACAGACCAGTAACTCCACTATTTACAACCGAGTAAAGTGTTCACACTGCCCGTGATAAGTTAGCGCCCACATGCCCGTCGCCCCATTCAAACCCTCAAACCGGCAAAACTTTGGCGTCATTAACAAAGTGTTTTACATAAAATAGCATTTTTAACGCCATTTTGTTTTCAGCTCGGCCGCATTTGTTACAGTTACAGCCACTACGACTGCCTGTAAAAATGTAAAAGTGCTTCCGACTTTTCAATTTCAATTATTCATACGTTTTATGACCTTTTTCCTTGGCATGCAGGCGGCTCTTCTCAGTATGGAGTTTTCCAGTTTTCCAGCTCTCCGGTTCTTCGGCGCCTACTCCTCAAATATTTAAGACTTGCATTATATGTTCTCTTTATGCGCTGCATTTTTTCCTGTGCTTTGTTTTTTTTGTTGTATATTTTTTTTATTGTTCCTACTTCTTTTTTTTTCTGGCTCATGCTCGCTGCACATAATTTGTATTACGCCCCTGCATATAAAATGCATGGCTACGTGCGCGGAGGGGGCGTGGCCGGCCAGTGGCCAACTGGCCAAAAGGAAGGCTTTATGGCCAGAGCCTCTGTTTCGGCCATGGCACGAAACGTGCATCAATTTAACTTTTCCTATGCCTCCGTGGAATGAGCGGAGCAAAAACAAAAAAAAGGGAAAAAAACTTAATAAAAATGGGGGATTCTCTCCGTTTCAGTCTCAGTTTTAGTTGCAGTCCCAGCTCCCGGTTAACCCCTAAATGGCCAGCTTTTTGCCGCGGCCAACTGATTAATACGGCCGCCAGGGGTTAAAGGCGGGCTCAATTAAGCGGCACAGAGCTTCCCCCTGAATTCCTAATAATAGCAATAAATAAATGGCTTCTTGTACATTCCGCCAGCTAAAGTCAAAGCCTTTTGGCCGGGGCCGTAAAAAGCCGCCAAGACAATGGGGCCGGGATAGCCCCACTTTGTATACTAATTTGCTTTCGGTGGCTCCTCGGCTCTTTGCATACGAAAATGCTTTCGCAACATTTATGGCATTCATAAACTTTTACGGCCAGCCACAATTCGTGTGCAAATGTCACTGGCCCAAAGTAAGTAAGCCAAAGAAAAACTAGCGATTGGGCCGAGTTTTCCGACTCAAAAGATACCTGGTATGCAAAGTTCTCTAATTATTTAAAAGTCGGCAAAAAGGAAATGTAAAAGGTTATGATGGCGAATATATTTGTGTCACACAACTTATTATGATGAGGTGGCTTTTTAGTTTTAAGCTTTCAATATCAGTTAAATATTTAAGGAGTTAAAGGGAGTTAGATATTTTTAAAATCAACAAAGAATTCTATATGTCTGATAATAACTTCTTTATTAAAAAAAAATTTCCGGATAAATTCTAAATTAATTTTAATAATACAACTGTTAAGAAGCACCAAACTAACCACCAATTTCTTCCCATCCTTCTTATTCCAGGCCAAGATGATCGAGAGTGGAGGACATGGTGGCTGGATGGGTGCTGCAGCCGCAGCAACTGGCGCAGCTTCAGTGGCGGGTAAGTTCCAGCTAAAAGTGATTCCCTTTCAGCCTTTTCATAATGTCCGCGTGACGTGTCTTCCAGCAGACAGCTACCAGTATCAGTTGCAGTCCATGTGGCAGAAGTGCTGGAACACCAATCAGCAGAACTTGGTGCAGCAGCTGCGATTCCGGGAGCGAGGACCCCTGAAATCCTGGCGACCCGAGGCCATGGCCGAGGCCATCTTCAGTGTCCTGAAGGAGGGACTTTCCCTGTCGCAGGCCGCCCGTAAATTCGACATCCCCTATCCCACCTTCGTCCTCTACGCCAATCGGGTGCACAATATGCTGGGACCCTCCCTAGATGGCGGTGCTGATCCTCGGCCCAAGGCCAGGGGTCGTCCCCAGAGGATCCTGCTGGGCATGTGGCCCGAGGAACTCATCCGCAGCGTCATCAAGGCGGTGGTGTTCCGGGATTATCGCGAAATCAAGGAGGACATGGGTGCCCACCAATATGCCAATGGACAGGCCCATGGTGTAAGTACTTTTTAATTATATATTTATCTGGGTAAATCGATAAATTATATGTCAATTAATTGATTTAATTTCTTAAGGACAACAAATAACACGTATAAATTTAATTCAAAGTCATCTAATTATAGAACTCCAATGATCTTATACTATTCAAAAGTTTTAAATTTGAATACATGTTTATCACCCTGTATTAATGATCAGTCATTTCAAAAGTTTTTAATTGGAAGTAAAACATTTTTTTACATCTTTGTGAAACAACAACTAGTTTTCACTGAGCATGTTTTATAAGGCCATTTAATGTTATTTGAAATAACAACATAATAATAAACATTTTTCATTGGAAATAGTAAAGGCTATACTAATTTAATTTCAGTCAGGTGGAATTTGTTTTGCGTAAACAAAAAGTGTAATTATATTATTTTCGAGGCGCCAAGGCCTAGTTGCTATGAATAAACATTATGCCAAATGATTTCTTATTTTTCTTAAATAGCATATAATTGGGGATATATATTTATTCAACCTAACTCCAACCGAATTTAACCCATTATTTTCTCCTTCCACCATTTTTCTTTGATATTTATAGACCTATATTGGCGGCGGTACCACCTCGAATGGCTATCACAGTGCTGCGGCGGCCAAGATGGCGGCCCAGAATGCTTCACTAGCTCCTCCAGATGCCGGCAGTCCTTTGAGCTCCATGACGGAGACTCTCCGTAGACAGATCCTTTCGCAGCAGCAGCAACAGCAGCAGCAGCAGCACCACCAGCAACAGTCGCACCACCAGCAGCAGCCCTCGCACCATCAACAGCAGTCGCCGCATGGTCAGTCCATGAACATGTACAAGTCGCCGGCCTATTTGCAACGGTCCGAGATCGAAGATCAAGTATCCGCAGCGGCGGCCGTGGCAGCGGCGGCGGCCAAACATCAGCAGCAGGGTGAGCGAAGGGGGTCGGAGAACCTGCCCGATCTGAGTGCCCTCGGTTTGATGGGTCTGCCCGGTCTGAATGTGATGCCCTCTCGAGGATCGGGGGGTGGAAGTGGGGGGCAGCTCCAAATAGCGCCGCTTCCTATGCCCGCGAGTTGTCCCGCGAAAGGGAACGCGATCGGGAACGTGAGCGGGAACGGGAGTTGTCCCGCCAATATGGCAGCCAGTCGCGGGGCTCGAGCTCCGGTTCCGGCAGTGCCAAGTCCCTGACCGCCAGCCAAAGACCCGGCGCCGCCTCGCCCTATTCCGCCGCCCACTATGCCAAACATCAGGCGAGTGCCTACAACAAGCGGTTTCTGGAGAGCCTGCCCGCCGGCATCGATTTCGAGGCGATTGCGAACGGACTGCTGCAGAAGTCGGTGAACAAGAGCCCGCGCTTCGAGGACTTCTTCCCAGGACCCGGCCAGGACATGAGTGAACTGTTCGCCAATCCGGACGCGGCTGCAGCTGCTGCGGCGGCGGCTGCCTATGCGCCGGCTGGTGGGGCAGGTGGTGGCTCCATCCGGGAGTCGCCCCTTATGAAGATCAAGCTGGAGCAGCAACATGCCACCGAGCTGCCGCACGAGGATTGAATCCTGGCAAGGGGCGGGATGCCGCAGGTGGCTCACTGGAAGTGACCGGCACACACATTAGGGTGGGGCCATTCTTAAGAAACCCAAAGGAGATCAAATCAAAGGGGTGCTAAGTAATCATTGGATAACAGTAAGTAACTATGATTTTAGAACAAAAAGGTTTTTTTTTGGCAAAAGAGAAAACTTGTGTATAAATATAATTGTTTCGCTAAAAAATTACAAGTTTGCAACGTCAGATGCTATATTTTATTAATCAAAAAACATTAAAAATTGTAAAAATATGAAAAGCTTATAAAGTGTGACTGATAAAATATTAAATATCCTAACTAAACACACTGGTAAATTGGCTATCAAGAATTATCAGAATATGAAATTGTAATAGTGAAAGAAAGGTACCGAGTATTCAATAGGAAAAATGAAGCTGAATGAATGTTTGATAATTGTATTGTTCGAACAATTACGGTTTCCGAGAAAACAAAGATATTTTAGTCAAAAAAAAAATAGCCCAGAATATCCAAAGATTACTTGACCCTAGAAATATTTGCCCAAATAGGCAAACCACCCTAACCCCCATAAAAAACAAAACCACAAACATATTTGGACTGCTACTTGAACCCCAACGTTTTTAGTGTTTAGTGCTTAGTTGAAGTTGCTAACTGGTTTTTATGCCTAGGCTAGTTTTAGAGCGTAACGTGGAAGGTATAAAGTATTAACCTATTATTAAAGCACACCCCAAATCCCCCACAAACACCTACATACTTCGGAACTTTCCTGTAAGGATAGGATCTCGTAATTTGTCTTATTTATTTTCGAGAGAATTCGTTGCGTTGATTGCCTTTTTTGCCACGCGAAAAGTAATAATAAAATAGGAGTAACGATAAATGTAACCGTAAACAATTAAATTTACGATTAGAGACTTGTGCATTTCTTAAATGTAGCTTAACCCTAGAATAGTTCACAAATACAAAACACACACTAAATGTTGTCAAATCCGGTAATTACAACTTTATATATATAGATATATATAAATACGCAAATACTTTAGATACATAAACCCACACAGATAGAAGTGCATACCCACGCACGTACATATACTTATATTAATGGTATTTCCAAATGTAACTGTAAATAATGTACAAATTTCCATAGCTTTAGGCTTCGATTTAATCTTAGAATTACCCCAAAAAGCCCCTTCGCAGCACTTCTTCTATGGTAATCGTATTGTAAATGAACGAATGAGCAAACAACGCAGGCAGCATCACATTAAATTTGTGCTAATTTTATGTAAACAATCACCCACAAACACAGACACACACACACACACACAATCAAAACACACAAATGCAATACCATTGCACACAATACACACTCGACTGTCAGATATGCATATGTATTGTCCGTACTCTGTGAGTGAACTATTATTATTATACTTATTATTACGATTATTATTATCTATCCCTAAAGATGCGCGAGGCATTCTTGAGTTTAGTTAAACAGTAAATTATACAATAATAAACAGAAAATAAAAACAAATTGAAAAACTAAACGAAAAACAACCTGTTTCAATGATTTATTTATGGGTAAGGGTTGGGAGGAAGGTCAAGGAGTAATTCTGGAAATAGGATTTATATTTGGTCTATGAATATTTAATGGAATTTTCTGCCTTAATTTGAAAATTGAAATCATTTAAAATGGGTAAACAAGTATTAACAATCATGAGGATTTTACAAACAGCTGCTCTTTATCGTCACAAAAGTTTATGCTTAAAGATTATTGTTATCCATGGAATTGGAAATATACTACAAAATACCTTATCAATGGAATTTCACCAATAACAGATAAGCGCCGCAAAACACATGATCTAAAATTAAAATGCCGAACAAGAAAACAAAAACAACAGCTGGAACTGCTTTTTTAATACAAGGGGAACTCTTATATCAGAATAATTGGAACTCAGGAGAAGAGCAAACTTCTGCTGCCAAAAACAAATTCTGTAAACATATGCAAAATGTTCCCCCTTAAAAGTGAGAGGGTTAAAATGAAAAGTGTTTCTCGGGCATTTTCAGGCGAATTCATTTGACTCAACCCTTTCCCGGCAGTTGCAGTTCCTCGACAGTCAACTGCTGGCCCCAATTCCGAAGACATAATTCACTTAATGCCCCTCGAAGCAAGTGCAACTTCGGGCAGAACGAGCACAACAATGCCGCCTTCTTCCCCTTTAAGCACACACTTACTCTCACACACACACATACACTTTTCAAGGTCAAGTGGCAAGTGAAAGCGGCGTCATAGCCCCCTTTTGTTGTTGTTGCTACTGCTGTCGGTGAAAGAAAACAATTACTTTGGCACTTAACAGCTTAACACATCACTTTGCACTTGATGCAAAACTCGGTCTGCTCGCAGGACTCATGACTTCGGACCCGTCTCGCTGGGCTCAGAGGTCCTTTGGTCCTTTGCTCCCCCGGAAACATCCTGAACATCCCGGGCATCCTTAGCTGCAGCCTGCAGATAAATAGGAGAAGCCAAAGCCAAGGAGAGGAGCACTCAAGGAGGGCGGGTGCCCGACCACTGTCCGCAGCGGGGACAAGCGAACAGTTGTAATGCTCAAGGTCATTCCGGAGCAGTTGCTGGCCACCCTTTGGGCAGCAAGCAAAGCCGACACTGAGAGAAAAATTTGAAATGATAAAGGATGACATTGATATATACAATAAAAACCTAAGGTCTTATAAGAAAGAAAGACACTTTTGGACTTTGAATTACAATGGTGTATTCATCTTTAAAGCATTTAAGGAATTTTGGTGTGCTTATTTATTTGTGTATTTTGTTAAGAAATAAAATAAATAAAAATAAATAAATAAAAATTAATCAATTAAATCATTATTAACAATACAGACGATGACGATGATTTTACGTTTCTACAACTTTTTTTTAGTGGTCATTAAAAACGAAATTTAATTTATAAGTTAAGATATGAGAAATGTTAAATGGAATTATATTTGAAAGTGGTAACAGTATCCTTAGTTGTATTGCTAAAGTTGTATATTTAATCAAGGCAACATTTGGAGTATTAAGGCCAAGATTAAGCCTACATTTTTCTGCCAGTGTGACGAAGCCAACGAGGAAGGCAGCCGCTCGACTGGTCCTGAATGGCAAGTGGCTTTCATCTTGTGAGACACCCACACAAACCCTCTTGGTGGTTGGGCGGGGGATTGGCTTTTGAGTGGGGAGCAGGGGGAGGATGCAGAGGAGCAACAGGAGTGCCAAAGGGTCGAGACTCGTCCTCGTTCTCGGTCTCGGTCTGGGTCTCATTCTCGTTCTCATTCTCGGTCAGCCTTGAATTGCGACCCACAAACAACTTCCTTCCAGCCACGGCAGCTGCCTTCGTCCTGCCTTTCGTCCTTGCCAGCAATTCGCCTGTGGTTGCCGCCTGCTGTCTGTCTTGCTTCTATTCCACTTCCTCGTCCTTGTACTCGTCCTGATCCCCCCTCATCCCCCTCATCACCCCGCCTGGATGTGTCTGAAGTTAAGCATTTGCGGCTGCTTGTAGCCCAAAATCCTGGCTGGTTGGTTTGCCGGTTGTTGGCTGCCTTGCCTTGCCTTTCCTTTGCCCCCCACTTGCCACCACTACCACTTGCCCCTGCAACAGTTAGCAGCCACTCTGCCGTTAGCCATCTTGACAAGTGGTTTGGCGCCGCCTTAACCCGTTGAGGCCCTGGATTTAGCAGAGGTTTTGTGGCGGCACATGAACTTATGGTTCGGAGGGAGTTTTCCTATTGAGGAACTTCTCAGTTCTGGATCCTCAGTTCACATTGTAAATCAATTTACAAACATATTTTTGCTTAGTCAAATAAAGCTGTAATTTGTCCTATAAAAATATATCAAAATAATATGTCTTTCTCAAACTAATTTTACTTTATCTTGAGTTTTCACTAAAAAATCATGGGTTTGGGCCAAAGAAACCCTTTTTTGCCCATTTTGGTCCAAAATAGGAATGTCATACATCTTTTAGTTCTTATTTACATTCCCAATCGGTTGGGATTCAATACTACAACTTTTTATTTTTGCTCATTTCTTGCCCAAAAAACATGATGATAACCCCTTATTCAAAAATACGAAAATCCGAAAACAATTTTTTTTTTTTGTAAATCAATCTGGAATGTAAAGTTTGGGTCTTCAGCTGCACAAAACAGTTTTTCTATTGGCTGTGCGCCTTATATTGGCAAAGTTAGGCACAAAAAGGCCTTAAATAAATGTGTTTTTACTTTTGGGAAAAAGGATATTTTCACCATCATTTTCTTTTTCCTTTCACTTGTTAATTAATCCTTTCATTGACGCACCCAATGGGTTAATCGCAGGGAAATGGCTGTGACCTGGCAATTGGCCTCACGCTCTGCGGGAAGATGCAGCTGAGCTGAACTGAGTTGAGTCGAGTTCAGTTGAAGCCCCAAGTTGCTGTTGCCTGCTCTCGAGAAATTACAGATAATTTGTTAAATATGGCACAGCAGCATGTGCAGTTTTGGCCAGGCCAAAAGCGAAAGTGCACAAGGAGGGGGAGTGGGGGGCGGGGGCGGTGGTGTTGGCTCCTTCCTTATCCTGCTACTCAACAAGGACAACCTTGTCGTCGTTGGCTCAAAGCCTTGACTTCAACTGAGTCGGTCACAGGGACAGGAAAAGGAGTGGGGCTTTGGGGGAAATTCAGGAGTCGAGACATTTTGCCAGACACTTTTGCCTCTCAGTCTGCATCTCTGTCTATGTGTGTGTGTGTGTGTGTATGGGTGTTTGCTGGAGTATGTGTGTGTTTGCTCCGGCATTCCTCAAGGTTGTTTCAATTTTACTTCAGTCTGCACAACCATTTTGTCCTGAATGCCTGAGTGTGTGCGTCTGTGTGAGCTATTAAAGAATTTTCCCAGCTTGTGAGTGGCTACTTTCTCCCTGCTTTCTCCATTCCCCATGCTCCTTGAATGCGTATGTGTCTGTGTGTCTGTGTCAAGAAACAGGAAGCTGTTGATAGTGTAATGTGGCAACATTATTTGCTTGATTGCTTTATTTTACGCAAAAGGTGTTTGTGGCTTGACACCACTCGAACACAAGAAACAAATATAATACTTATTCAAATGCACTGGGAAAAATGGAATAACTTATATTTATAACAATCTTATTAGATAGTTTCCCTTTAAATATTATAAAATATCTAGTTCATTCCAAGAACGATTATTATTTTTTCTAGGCAACCTTCAGTTATATTAGACTGTTACTACATACCTGAAAATTTTTTTTACTTTTGCTATTTAATATTGACTATATCAAGATGAAATCAGTCGAAGTTATATTGTAGCGGAACCTTTATTATGATACTCACTTTATGTATATATTTAAAGGAATAATATATATGAGTAACTACTTTGAATACTAAGTTAGGGTATTTATTTTCGCAGGATTTTAGGTTGCTTTATATGTAAAAGAATCATTTACAAGCCGGCTATTATTTGGATTTTTATTTCATACTACATAACACGTAAAAGTTGTCATATTTCGGAGATTCAATATAAAGTGATAAAAAAGGCGTTGCATTGGAGACCCATTTAATAATTTAACTTGATAATTTCCCGCACTGTAAAAGCACTTATTCATTCACTCCTGTTGAACGTCTCAGTTTCTTTCCTTTTGCCCCTTTGCATTTTCAATTGCCGTTTGCTTAAGCAAATGTTTGCAGTCGAAATTTTCTGTACATTTATTAGCTCACTTATGCTGGCCATTGTCCACCTTTCGCCCTCCTTGCGTGTGCGTCCCTCCGACCTACGAGGAAAAACAACATTTTTCAGGACGAATAAATGCAAAGAAAATATTTTGTGTAAACATGCATTTTCCTCGAACTGCATAAGAAAGCAATTGAGAGATTTATGCTGGTATAATGCACTTGTGGCTTTCTGGTCATCGGACGCCGGACATTGGACATTGGACACTGGACAAAGGACACTGGAGAAAGGACACATCGAAGTCTGGAGATGGCACGCCTGGGATTGCTCGACTTGGCTTTGTGGCGACGCGTGAAAGTGTGAAAATTCCTTAAGGATGCTTGGCTTGCATAATTGCTTGTGATTTATTGGGACCGAGATGGGCGATCGAAAGTGAAAAGCGTTGCATAAATCTCTTTCGCACTCCTTAAATTCCGGATTTATAACTTGTTATACCCGAGCTTTAAACTAATCCGCTGAGCTGCTTAAAAAAAGAGGGTTGGCAAAAAATACAAATGCACAAATCAAACAAAAACTTATGTGCATACACACACACCCAGGACTCAAGAGTCCCCCGTTCCAGCTGCAATATTTTAATTAAAAATTCAATTTTAATCAATGCATTAGCAAAATGTCTCGCTCTCAGCGAGAAATGGAAACTCTGTAACGAGCAGCGTCCGTTGGTCTATGGCAAGGGGTTACAGGAGGAGGGGGACAGGGGGGGGGTCAGGATCCTGCAGGAGCAGCAGCAGCAAAAACACAAGTTTTATGCGACGTCGAGTTTTGAGCATTGAAAAATAATAAAAATCGCTACAAAA